GGATGACGGAGGGGAAGAGGGGAGAGAGGGAGAGAGGGGGAAGAGGGGAGGCGAGGAGAGAGGAGAGGGAAGGGAGAGAGAGGCGTGGGGAAGAGGGGAGAGAGGGAGAGGAGGGGAAGAGGAAGGGACGGGAGGAGAGAAGAGAGGAAGAGAGAGAGGACGGAGGAGGAGGAGAGAGGAGGTTGGCCAGGAGGAGAGGGAAGGAGAGATTGGGACGGAAAGAGGATGGGAAAGGTGAGAAGGTTGGAGGATAAAGAGAAGGGTGGGTAGGAGGGGGGAGCGAGAGAAGGAAAAAGGTGGAGAAGGAGGGAGAGGAAGGGAAAAGTAGGGAAGTAGGATATAGAGTAAAGGCAAAGGGCAAGGAAAGAGAGAGCGAGAGAGGGACAGAGACTTAGAGAAATAAGAAGTATGGAATGACGCGAAGAGGAAAAAACCAGACGTAAAAAGGGAGGGAGAAGGTAGGAAAAGATGGGGGAGGGACGGCGAAGAGTGGGGAAGGAAATATGGGAGAGAAGGGAAGCGAATGGATAGAAGGAGATGGAGAGGGAAAGAATGGTGGAGCGGGGGAGGGAAGGACGGAGAACGAGGAAAGAGAAAAGGTAAGGAGAAGTAAGACAAAGGAGAGGAAAGGACGAAGGGGGAGGGAGTAAGAAGGGGAAGGGACGCGGTAATGGATGAGAGGGAGGTGGAGTAGGAAGGAAAAAGAAAGGAAAGGATAGGCGCAGGGTAGGAGAGGGAGGGGGGGTGAGAAAAGTGATAATCAGCAGGAATAGCAAGAGTGGGAGCAGAGAAAAATCTTTTAGAGGGAAGAGGAAGAGAGGGAAAAGAAGGACAAAGACAAAGAGAAGGAAAGCGTAGGACAGTAAGGTAGAGGGTAGAACGAAAGGGCATCAGAAAAGGGGAAGGGGGAGAGAGAGGATAACACTCTTATGCAAATTTCAGCAGAATCATTTGCACAACGATTTTTTCCTTGCTGTCTTGGCGTCCTCTGAGAACCCCTTCTGCAGGTGCGCCAAATTTCTCTCGTCTTGACTCATTTTACATCCCGTGGGATTCGAGGGACTTTTGGATAAAACAAAGTAGGTAAAAAAGATCGTAAAGTCGGTAATAAGGACGGAGAGAGAGAGAGAGAGAGAGAAGAGAGAGAGAGAGAAGAGAGAGAGAGAGGGAGGAGAGGGGGAGGGAGGGAGGGAGGAGGGAGGGAGGGAGGGAGAGAGAGAGAGAGAGAGAGAGAGAGGAGGAGGAGAGAGAGAGAGAGAAGAGAAGAGAGAAGAGGAGAGGAGAGAGAGAGAGAGAAGGAGAGAGAGAGAGAGAGAGAGAGAGAGAGAGGAGAAGAGAGAGAGAGAAGAGAAGAGAGAGAGAGAGAGAGAGAGAGAGAGAGAGAGAGAGAGAGAGAGAGAGAGAAGAGAGAGAGAGAGAGAGAGAGAGGAGAGAAGAGAAAATAGAGAGAGAGAGAGAGGTAGTTTATTTACCAACCAACAAGCACGTACATACAGCTGCTTACATCCATACATAAACATACATACACAAGCCTTGAATCACGCTCACATTCATACATACATACACACAAGTAAGAGGGATAAAATGATAAGTGGATAAATATAGCAAGCTAACAAAAGCAATGAAATAGAACCAAAAAAAGAAAAAAAGTGCCATTAAATCAACTTTGTAAAGTTATAGAAAATAATAATAATACTAAGAAGAAGAAGAAGAAGAAGAAAAAAAAAAAAAGAGTATAAAAAAAAATCAATAAATAAGGAATGTCTAGCTAGCTCTCCATTCCCGCTGTTACCAAGCGTTCCCACCCTAGTGATAAGCAAGGGACAGAAGCCGAGTCAAAATCCACGCACGACCCCCATGCACCCATACCAGGGGAGTCATACCAAGGGGCTGAGTATACCAAGGGCTGCTGAGTCATACCAAAGTCATGAGTCATACCCGGGGCTGAGTCATACCAAGGGGCTGAGTCAGAGTCATACCAAGGGGCTGAGTCATACCAAGGGGCTGAGTCATACCAGGGGCTGAGTCATACCAAGGGGCTGTCATACCAAGGGGCTGAGTCATACCAAGGGGCTGAGTCATGGGCTGAGTCATACCAAGGGGCTGAGTCATACCAGGGGCTGAGTCATACCGGGGCTGAGTCATACATACCAAGGGCTGAGTCATACCAAGGGCTGAGTCATACCCAGGGGCTAAGTCATACCGAGGGCTGAGTCATACAAGGGCCTGAGTCATATGAGTCATACAAGGGCTGAGTCATACCAAGGGGAGTCATACCATCATACCAGGGGCTGAGTCATACCGAGGGGCTGAGTCATACCGAGGGGCTGAGTCATACCAAGGGGCTCATACATACCAAGGGGTGAGTACATAGTCATACCAAGGGGCTGTCATATGAGTCATACATACCAAGGGGCTGAGTCATACATACCAAGGGGCTGAGTCATACCAAGGGGCTGAGTCATACATACCAAGGGGCTGAGTCATACATACCAAGGGGCTGAGTCATACCAAGGGGCTGTCATACCAAGGGGGCTGAGTCATACATACCAAGGGGCTGAGTCATACCATCATACCACTGAGTCGATACCACTTACATTTAGAGAGGCTGGCCGAACGTATCACGGTATCATACAATATGGAATTGAATTACTTTACGATAAATAAAATCGTCACCTGCACTAAAGACACTAGAATGAAATTGAAAAAAAGGCATTATGATATGGACTGATTTAGGAAATACCGGAAGCAGTAGTAGCAGGAATGATAGAAAAAGGGTAGACGTAGTAGACTATTTTCATCGTCTGGCATCAATATAATTCAGAACCTTTATACGTCTCTATCACTGATTGGCGATCTTCAAACCATCTGACCATGAAATTGTAAAATTCCTTCTCCCAATCACTTTCCATTGAATTATTTATTGCGTTCGTCAATCTCTTCTGGGTACACCTTTGCCAATCTATGTTGATTGTGCGTAAAGTGGGTTAACGAGGTTTTACAAGAAGTACTGGGTATGTTGTTTTTTAGGGTACTGACATTATCGTTTTATTATTACTATCATCACTATTTCTCGATAAAAAGGTCGATTCGGGTGCAATTAGCTTCGTTTGATTTCTGTATATCTTCTATTTGTCTCCCTCTCCCTCTTCCTCTCTCTCTCTCTCTCTCTCTCTCTCTCTCTCTCTCTCTCTCTCTCTTCTCTCTCTCTCTCTCTCTCTCTCTCTCTCTCTCTCTCTCTCCCTCCTTCCTCCCTTCTTTCCTTCCTTCCCTCCCTCGCTCCCTCATTCCCTCATCCCTCCCCCTTTCCTTCCCATCTTCCCTTCCCCTTTCCTTCCCCCTCCCCCCCCCCAATCTCTCTCTCTTCATTTACGAAAGCGACATTCTTTCGAAAGCAAGATTGAACTGGAGTTTTACACAGAATAAAGACTTTCCATCTCCCTTTGGAATGGGTATAGAATCTGGCTTCTTTCGTTCCCTAACTGGCTGGTTCGTCTTTTATAACTAATGTTGCTGTTCTGTTAGTCTCTCTTTTATAACCATGTTGTTATGTCGTTTTAGCTTTTGTGACTAGTGCTTTTCTTTTTTCTTTTTTGGATAATTTTTTTTCTAATGTTCTATCTTGTATAACTAATGGTATTCTGTTACTGCTCTAACTTCCTAACTAATACTGTTATTTCATTTCGTTTTTGTTGTTGTTGTTGTTCTATTATTGTATCTTTTATATAAATGTTCTTCTATCATTTATTTATTTTTTTCTATAATCATTGTTTTTGTCATACTATTTCACGTTTATAACAATGTTGTCCTGTTATTAGCTATCTTTATAACTATGTAGTTGTTCTTTTACTTCTCATTATGATATTCATACCTTAGGGTAATTATAATGTTATCTTCATTAACGTTATCATCTTAAGCACTATTACCATTGTCATTTCTTCAACTCTCAATGTGTATCTTAATTTTCTCCTTATAGGATTATTAATATCATGAACGTTATCATTATTATCATTGCTATCATTATCATCATTACTATTATCATTATTATCATAATTATGTTATTATCATTATCATCATTACGTTTACTATGATTATTATTATGGTTATTACTTCTATTATGATAATCATCATCATTAGTACCACTATTGTTACCATTCTCATCATTATTAATTTCATCATTTCCATCACTATGATTATACATAAAATACCTTTTCCCTCAGAAAAAAGTACTAACCAAAAATCAAGAAATATTTTCTCGAATCCTTGAAAAAAGAAAGAGAACAAAAACGCTTATTGCATTCCCGACAAAGGTGTTGAGAGCAATTAACTGTTTCTATTATCTACCTTACGTATGGCACGACGGAGCAATATTACGCCACAATATACGTTTATGACATCTACTTCTGTCCATTATAGTCATTACAGAGCTTATAATATCTACTTTCCTCCCCGTTTTCCCTAATCCCTAATATATAACCCTCGCCCAGCCACTCGAATCACGTTAAAGACATGTTTTCATCAAGGCCCAATCACAATTCCCATGGGCGGAGCTTTGCCACAAACGACCAATCAACTGCTCATTAGGCTCTCTCGTCGGCCAATCAGCGGTCGTCACAGCCCATCGAAACTGCCAATAAATGCAATGAATACGGTCATAAAGGCATAGCATTCGCGGGATGTTTGTTCCGTTTGTTGGCCTGTTTGTCTCTGATGGAGTGTCTGTCTGTGTCTTATCTGTTTCGGGCTCCGCCTAAGGATTTGGTTGTTGGTGTTTCTTTGTTTAAGTTTCATGGACACACAAACACACACTCACACTCACACACACACACACACACACACACATACACACATACACACACACACACCACACACAACACACACACACACACACACACACAAACACACACACACACTATATATATATATATATATATATATATATATATATATTATATATATATATATACATATACACATTATGTATATTTGTACGTAGATGT